CAGAGACACGAGACAGAGAGACAAGAGACAGAGACAACGAGACAGAGACACAACGAGACAGAGAGACAGACGAGACAACAGAGAGACAACGAGACAAGAGACACACAACGAGACAGAGAGACAACGAGACAGAAAGAAAAGAGACAGAGACACAACGAGACAGAGAGACAACGAGACAGAGAGACAACGAGACAAGAGAGAGACAGAGAGACAACGAGACAGAGACAGAACGAGACAGAGAGAGACAGACACAACGAGACAGAGACACAAACGAGACAGAGAGACAACAGAAGACAACAGAGAGACAGAGAGACAACGAGACAGAGAGACAACGAGACAGAGACACAACGAGACAGAGACACAACGAGACAGAGAGACAACGAGACAGAAAGACAACGAGACAGAGACACAACGAGACAGAGAGACAACGAGACAGAGACACAACGAGAGAGACACAACGAGACAGAGAGACAACGAGACAGAGACACAACGAGACAGAAAGAGACACAACGAGACAGAGAGACAAAGAGACAGAGACACAACGAGACAGAGACACAACGAGACAGAGAGACAACGAGACGAGACAGACAGAGACAACGAGACAACGAGACGAGACACAACGAGACAGAGAGACAACGAGACAGAGACACAACGAGAAGAGACACAAGAGACAGAGAGACGAGACAGAGACACAAGAGACAGAGAGACAACGAGACAGAACAACGAGACAGAAAGACAAGAGACAGAGACGAGACAGAGAGACAACGAGACAGAGAGACAACGAGACAGAGACACAACGAGACACAACGAGACAGAGACACGAGACAGAGACAACGAGACAGAGACACAACGAGAGAGAGACAACGAGACAGAGACACAACGAGACAGAGAGACAACGAGACAGAGACACAACGAGACAGAGAGACAGACGAGACAGAGAGACAACGAGACAGAGAGACAACGAGACAGAGAGACAGAGACACAACGAGACAGAGACACAACGAGACAGAGAGACACAACGAGACAGAGACAGAGACAAACGAGACAGAGAGACAACGAGACAGAGACACAACGAGACAGAGACACAACGAGACAGAGACACAACGAGACAGAGACACAACGAGACAGAGAGACAGAGAGACAACGAGACAGAGAGACAACGAGACAGAGACACAGACAGAGACAAGAGACAGAGACAGAGACACAACGAGACAGAGACAACGAGACAGAGAGACAACGAGACAGAGAGACAGAGACAACGAGACAGAGACACAACGAGACAGAGAGACAACGAGACAGAGAGACAACGAGACAGAGACACAACGAGACAGAGAGACAACGAGACAGAGAGACAACGAGACAGAGAGACAACGAGACAGAGAGACACAACGAGACAGAGAGACAACGAGACAGAGAGAGACAGGACAGTGAGGTGCAGGGACAGAGACAAAGAGACAGACTGGAGTCATCAGTGCTCAAGAGCACAAGGGCAGAGGAACAGAACCAACAACTCCAGACCACAACAGGAAAAGTCATGAGAGACAAATTTACAACAGTTTTAGTCCCTGATTAGTACAGATCTGGTCCTGGTTTAGACCTGGTTTGGTCCTGGTTTAGACCTGGTTTAGTCCTGGTTTAGTGGTTTAGTCCTGGTTTAGTCCTGGTTTAGACCTGGTTTAGTCCTGGTTTAGACCTGGTGTAGTCCTGGTTTAGACCTGGTTTAGTCCTGGTTTAGACCCGGTGTAGTCCTGGTTTAGACCTGGTTTAGTCCTGGTTTAGTTCTGGTTTAGACCTTTTTTAATCCTGGTTTAGTCCTGGTTCAGTCCTGGTTTAGTCCTGGTTTAGTTTTAGTTTAGTCCTGGTTTAGACCTGGTTTAGTCTGGTTTAGTCTTGGCTTTAGTCCTGGTTTAGTAGTCTGGTTTTAGACCTGGGTTAGTCCTGGTTTAGTCCTGGTTTAGTCCTGGTTTAGTTCTGGTTTAGTCCTGGTTTAGTCCTGGTTCAGTCCTGGTCTAGTCCTGGTTTAGTTCTGGTTTAGTCCTGGTTTAGTCCTGGTTCAGTCCTGGTTCAGTCCTGGTTTAGTCCTGGTTTAGTTTTAGTTTAGTCCTGGTTTAGACCTGGTTTAGTTCTGGTTTAGACCTGGTTTAGTCCTGGTCTGGTCTTGGTTTAGTCCTGGTTTAGTCCTGTTCTGGTCCTGGTTTAGTCCTGGTTTAGTCCTGGTCTGGTCCTGGTTTAGACCTGGTTTAGTTCTGGTTTAGACCTGGTTTAGTCCTGGTCTGGTCCTGGTTTAGTCCTGTTCTGGTCCTGGTTTAGTCCTGGTCTGGTCCTGGTTTAGACCTGGTTTAGTTCTGGTTTAGTCCTGGTTTAGTCCTGGTCTGGTCCTGGTTTAGACCTGGTTTAGTCCTGGTTTAGACCTGGTTTAGTCCTGGTCTGGTCCTGGTTTAGACCTGGTTTAGTCCTGGTTTAGACCTGGTTTAGTCCTGGTCTGGTCCTGGTTTAGTCC